CTTTGCTGTTACTTCATCCTTTCTCCCCCAGCGGTGCCAGCAGCGTCCCCGGGCAGCGCGTGTGGGACATGAGCAGGGCTGGCCTTTTGTCACAGTGGCACTCAGGGAGCTCTGTTAATCCCTGCCCTTATCAAAGCTTACTGGGCTTTAAAATCCTCCTTCTGATGGATAAAATGCTGTCAGTGCCTCCTCAGGGGGCCCTGACCCCTTTAGCTTTAGGAGAGGGGACAGAAAACGCCTCACCAGCATCAGGGTCTTGCTCAGTGTTGCCTTTTCACCACTGCCCCTGGTCTTCCTATTTATGTATTTCTATATAAAATCCATCAAAAACATCAATAAAAGGCTTTAAATATAAATCACTCCATCCAAAAGGAGTCTAAACTGTGTTTGTGTGAGCTGGGATGGCAAAGGTGATTAAGGGAAAAGCCCCTGAACTTTAACATAAAATAGAAAGAAACAAAAATATTCCCTAATTTACTACAGCCCAAAATCTCCTCCCTCTCCCTACAACTCCTGCAGTTTGTAGTGACATAATCCTTGTAGTTTGGATAAAGAGCTGGTATTTTATAGAAATTTCAATCTTCCAAGGAAAGAAGGGGCTGAAGAATTTACATATTTTTTTCTTGTAACTGAATTAAATTTGGGATTGAAACTTCAGCTTTAACTTTTCATTATCGCTCTCCTTGGTTCACAGGGGGGCAGTATTTTCCTGGCTGTGTTGTTTTTCTAGGTCTTACAGACAATAAACCATATTTCTACTTTTCCCACCTTCCTTCTCAAAGTCATTTTAGCCACAAATTGTGCCCTCCCTGAGTATGAAGGGTAAGAGCTGCCTCCTCCACCAGCAGCCCTTGGTGGAGCACAGTTGTTTCAGAGGAACATCCAGTAGAAATAAACAGGGAAAAATCAAAATATACAGCTCTGCTGAGGGGTCAGTGCTGGGGGAGGAGGCCACGAGCTCGGGCACCTCTCTGGAAGCTGTGGAGGCTGTGCCTGAGTTTACACAAACTCAATGTAATATTGGATATTTGCTGGGGTTGTTTCACCAGCAGGATTCCCACCATGAGAGAGAGTTATCACAATTAGACATTTAATTTGAGTTGAATCATTGGTGCCACTCTCTGTGGCTCTGGAGGCTCCTGCTCAGCCCTGCCCAGTGGCTCCAGTCTCCTCTGCCATGTGCAGATGCACCAGGGACATTTGCTGACCCTCAGAACAACCTCAGATTCTATTGATTAGTTTTAGTTTTAATTACAGTGGCAGCAAACTCGACCATCAGCTGGTGTTAGTGGCACAATTTGGATCTGACCAGATAGGTCCTAGAAGGATGTGAACAGATGGATCTCAGGAGGATCTGAACAGATGGAGGGATCCCAGGAGGATCCAGCCCAGGAGCTGAGGATGTGCAGGACTGTCCCCCAGGGCTTTGACATCCGTTCCTCAGCACCTCTGTTCCATTAGTTCACATCCTTGAGGGCTCTTTTTCCTCCCACAGGATATGATTAACCCTGACTGGGCTCATCACACTGCAAACCCAGAGGAAAATCCACCTGAGCTCAGCCTCTGCCCCCCTGGAGTCCTGCCCTCCCCAAGGGCTCTCAGCCCTGCTCCAGTCTCTTCTCTGGAGCTGGGGACCACAAGCCCTTCCCCAGAGGTGAGGATGCTGCTCCAGGTTTGTGGGGAAGCTGCTGCCCTGCCTGTCCCACCTGGGAAATGAGGAGGAGCCCGGAGCAGCTCTGGAGTCCTGTGAACCTCTGGCACAGCGGTTCAGGGGGATGGAGGACGTGGGGAGGGTGGGAGGAGATGCTGCTGACAGGAGGCAGTGGCTCAAGGCCAGTGTGGGGGAACTTCTCATTCCATTTTCCTTGAAAATTCGTGGTGAAAGGGCAGTGCAGCATTTTCCAGCCCTCACTCACGTAAGCAGCTTCCTGCCATGAGTAATGTGGGGAGGACAGGGCAGAGAGAAGGGGCTGTCTCAGGGTTACTCAGAAAGGAAATAAAACCTCTCTGATCCTGGGGCATCCTGGGACAGATGCAATTCTAACAGTCCAGCCACAGGCTGCCTTTTGCAATAACTGCTCCCAAAGCCAGAGTCAGCCCTTTGCAGCCTTCTGGGCTGGTCAGAAAAAACACCTGCAGGAACCTCCTGTCCTGCTTTTTCCTGCAGCAGGGACATGGTGACACTCCTGTCACTCCTGTCCTGCTTGTCCCTGCAGTAGGGACATGGTGACACTCCTGTCCTGTGTGTCTCCTTGTCCTTGAACCCTCCAGGTGTTACTGGGGGGCTCAGGGACTGTGGGGAGCCTCTCAGAGTCATACCTTGAACTGGAAGGGACCCACAAAAATCACCAGTTCTGCTCCTGGCCCTGCACAGACACCCCAAAAACCTCACCCTGTGCATCCCTGGGTGTGCTGTCCAAACCCTCCTGGAGCTCTGGCAGCCTTGGGGCCATGCCCTGGGAGCCTGGGCAGTCCCAACACTCTCTGGGGGAAGAACCTTTTCCTAAAATCCAGCCTGACCCTCCCCTGACGCAGCTCCAGCCATTCCCTGGCTCCTGTCCCTGCCACAAGGAGCAGAGACTGGAGCTGCCCCTCAGGAGGAGCTGCAGCTTCTGAGGAGTCTCCCCTGTGTCCTCCCTTCTCCAGGCTGAAGAACCCAAGTGACCTCACCTTGCTGAAATGAAACTCAAGTGGATCACCAGGGAGTCGTGCTCCTCACAAATAAAGGGATTTTAAGAAGCCAAACCCAAACCAAATTCTGTTTGCAGAGACCTGCAGCAGTGGTCCTGCACTTGGAATTTTTATTAATGATCAGAAATGTGGGGTTTTGCTGCCTCATTCCTTCTGTTCCTCCCAAATTGGTGAAGATCCACCAGGAATGTATTTATTGACCTAGCAAGGGCCCTTGCTTTGCTCCCAGGGCAGCTGCTTTCCTCTGAAGCGTAAGAAACCACACTGACAAGAACAAAACGGGCACATTTCCCCCTCCAGTGAAGCCTGCAAATATTCCACAGAGTTTGTATGCTCAGCCCCTTGCAGGGCTGGAATTAAAAGTTTGGGAGAAGCAGGGTTGAGTTCCCAACCTTGCTGATCCCCAGAGGGATTTGTAACCCCAAGCATCAGGCATCCCTCAGGTTTGCTTTCAGGAATGTTTCTAAGACATTTTATTGCTTTCAGGAATGCTTCTAAGAGATTTTGGTGCTGATGGTATTTCAAAATTTGATGGGCTTTCCTTCATTTTTGCTCCCGAGATTTTTTCCCCTGGTAATCAGGTGAGTTGCCCTGTGTAGGAGAAGGATAAAGAGCCTGGTGTTCTCCTTCCTGCCATGTGGGAGAAGTCCCTCTCCTAATGTCAGACCACAGTGGAAATTGGGCAGAAATGCTAATTTAAGGTTCAGCTTGAGAATTAACTCCTGCATAAGGGAGCCAGAGCTTCTCAGTGCACAGATCCCTGGGGAATCCAGGCAGTGGGAATGGATTGAACCCCTCCAGCCCCAAAATTCATGCTCAAGGATGGAGAGGAGCAGGAGGCACCATGCTCAGAGCAGGAATGAGAGGAAATCTCTCTTTATTGCCAGTGCTTGGACTTTATTGCTCATTAAACTGAAGGGCTGCTGGCTTCTCACATGCTGCAGGAGTTTTATGGGAAAGCAGTTTATGGAATTAGGGTGAGCATGTCCCATGTACAGTGTCTGATCTTCCCCGTGTGGCAGCTCCTTTTCCCTTGGTGGGAGACAAGCAGGACCATTCCATTCCCACATGGAAAACCAGTTTCTTGCAGAGCTTTTCACCCACAGCTGTACTGGTTTGGTCAGAAATGACCCTCCCAGACACACCCAGGCCAAACTGGCACGAGGAGCTGATGCCCAAGGGCTGTACTCACCACCAGCTCCCAGTGGAAGCTCTGCAAGTCCATACTGGCACACTCATCCTATGGAAAATCAGTGTTTTTAGGCAAAGTTGAGGGTGTAGTTGGAGCCCAGGGCATGAGGAGGGTACTGGGTCTTTCTGTGGCTGGGTTCTTCCCCGCTGGAGCACCCATCCTGAAAAATAGGGAAAACCAAAAGGAAAGCAGAGAGGGAAACCCCAAAGATTGTAATGAAATAAAATACAGGCAGGGAGGGGAGGGGAGGAACGAAGGGGTCAGCGCCAGAGGAAACAGGACAATGACAGGAGAGGAACTGGGGCTGGACTAAATGAAAAGAGGAAACCTCGGCAGGCACAGGCTGCGGGAAGGGCTCAGCACTAGGGGACACCATTGGACCAGAAACTGCAGCAGAAAATAGCCCCGTTTCAAGCAAAAACCCAACCCGCTCACTTTCGTTTTCTCTGCGTCTCCGTCACCGCACCAGGGTGACACTCGGTCCCCAGCTCCCAGCTCCTGTCACGGTGTACAGCCCCTAAAACACCACAACTCCCAACCTGCCCCATCCCAGTAACAATCCCTGTTTCTCTGCACAGCTTTCTCTGCAGGCTTCTATTCCTGAGCAAAAACCTGCCCGGGATTTGCTGCCAGGGTGACACTTTGCTGTGTCCCCAGGGCACAGGCACACGCGGGGACATTGTCACCCCGAGCTGGTGGCAAAGCCAAACACCGCCCTGCAGACCCTGCTTTGGGGAACTCCAAGGAGAAAACATTCCCAGCAGACTTTTCCGTGCATTTGTGACGTGTGACCACACAGAACACACAAAAATCCCCCTCACCAATTTCATACCTGCCCCTCCAGCTGTCTTCCAAGCATTTTCTGTCTGTAAATCCCAATTTACCCAATTTCCAGATGCTTTTTGTTGGGCTGCTCCACCACTGCAAGGTCTCTCAAGACCCTCAGAAGTGTTTTGGCTCCAACAGATCCCCCAACAGCAGTTCCAGGGAAGTTGGGCTACGGCAAAGTCCAGTCTGGCTGGAGCGAAATAACTCTCCCAACATCTCAGCAACATCTGTGCTGCTCTAAGTGTTTATTACACCATTATAAATTATTATTATTAAGCAAGTATTACACTCTGGTGCTGTGTGCAAATGAAGTTTTATTGTAGGGAAGAAGAATCTGTACAGAGACTTTCAAATGAGCCACAGAAAACAGTAATTAAAATTACACTTGTAATGTTTTCACTTGGTATTCAGTAAAGTTTTTTAAAACAGGCATTCCTAGTGCATAAAAAAAGAAAATAAAAAAAAGCTGCCATTTCCTTTGCCATTAACATTGTCTCATTTAAACAAAAAAGGCAAAAGGTTAAAAAATACGTCTGGTACAATAAAAATGCTTTGCAACATATACATATATATATATATACACACACACTTAGCTTTACTGTACAATATTTTAAACTTTGGGAATGGGCATGTTATTTTTGCATATTCCAAATAAAAATCCATGAGGATTTTTTACAGTTTTACAATACCTTTAAAGCCTGGAGACACAAGTGGAATACTCAGTGCTGACCCTTAAAAATGAGTTTTAGCCAATTCATCCACATTTTTTCCCTGAACAATTTGCAGTTCTGGCTTTGAACTCTTGGCTCTGCCCTCCTGCTCTAACTCTACTCTACAGCAGCAGCTTTCAGCCTTCATATTTATGCTTTATCCTTCATATTTAACAAAGGAATTTCAGATCTCCTTGGAAATTCACATCCATAATTTTTCCTGCAGGTGAATTTGGTTTTTCAAGTGCCTTTTGCTGAGCAATGGCTGTGGTGCCAAGAGAGAATTCACTCTCCAATTATCTGTACAGATAATTTCTCCAGCAGATGCCTCTCCAAGCCAAACTCCTTTTGCTCACTGTTATTCTTCACTACTAAAACTGTTTTCTTTATTGAAGATAACATCGAGTAATTTCATAAATACCATATCCAAACACACTTTCAGTTGGAGAAGGAGCTGATAAATGAACAGTGAGGTTTAATCCAACAAGAATTTCTATTTCTGTTGGGATGTGTCGCACATTTCTGGCTGGGCTCTTCTCCAGCAGAGCAGGAGCTGCTTTCCTGCAGATCCCCTGGAAAAGTACAGGAATGTTTCCCTCCATCCAAGAGTTTATAGTTTTTCTTTACAGTAGAAAAACAGCCCAATGTTTTTTCAGCATCTCATCTCATCCAGATTCAGATTTTGGATCTCCAGCTCTTCCTAAAAATCTTTCCAAGGGCCTTGTGTTGCCTCTTTGCTGCCAGGTGTGGGTGAGGTGAACACTCTGGAACAGAATCACACATCCTAGAGAGCTTTTTTTAATATTTATTATTAATTTAACACCCTTGGCCAATAGTTGAGAAAGTCATATCTGACTCCAAGCATGCAGAGCTCCACTTTTGCCTAAAACTTCCCCAAAAACTGGAGTGATATTCTAAATCCTGCAGCCATCACTTCAGGACTAGTCCCACTGAAATAAGGCTCCCTCTTATCCTTATTCCTAAGTTATCCTGCACAGTAGGATAGTTCAATTCTACAACTGATCCCATGGATTTTTCTAGAAACTGGGAAAACACTGGCAAATCTGCTGCCCACCAAAGCCTCTTGAGCTGCTCAGTGTGGGTGAGAGAGGGGCCCATCCCAATTTGCAGCCCAGGCACAGCCCTGGGAGCCTAAAACACACATAATGATCATAAAAACCAAAATCCAGAGGCAGCTGGGAGCAGGGCAGGAATTATCCTGGCCTTGCTGTGTAAATAACTTGGCAGCTGTTTGAAGTTCCTGTGAAAACTCTGCCCTCGCTGTTCATCAGGAGTTCCCCACGCGCCACAAGCTTTGTGTACATTTCCCGCTGGCTTGGGGAATTAATGCTCTTGGAAAGTTGTGAAATGAAGCGAATGCCCAAATACAGCCTTGGAGGGGGTTTGGGAGTTCAGCAGCAGCTCCACAGCTTGCTGGTGGTGGCTGCTCTGTCCCACGTGGCTCTGGGGGTCCCAGGGGCTGCCCAGCCCCAGCAGTGGCTCTGCCACCAAGTACCACAAACCAGGGACTGTCCACAGTTGTTTAACTGCAACAAAGGCCTGAAAGCCTCCATCCCATCTTCTGGAAGAGTTCAGAGATCTCCATCCCCCACCAGAGTTCTGAGGGGAAAGTCAAACCTCCTTACAAAGGAGCCACAGCTGCCTTTCCATTCTCCCTCTGGTTTTCTCCAAAAGGTTGCTCCTCCTTGTCCTTCACGGAGATCTTTTTCCTGAAGGCCTGCGACAAGCTGGAGGAGGACGCCTTCCTCAGCGTGGTGAGTCTCTGCCGGAAGTTTCCCCCGGAGAAGAAGTAGAGCAGGGGGTCGAAGCAGCAGTTGGCGGCTGCCAGGGGCAGGGTGACGATGACGGCTTTCTGCAGGAACATGGTGTCGGCGCAGCCGGGGCCCCGCAGGCGCAGCGCGTGCAGGTGCACCGTGCGCAGGACGTGGTACGGCGTGAAGCTCACCAGGAAGGTGGCGGTGACGATGACGATCATCCACACGGCCTTGCGGCGGTTGGCCTCGTTCTTCCGCAGCGAGTTGCGCAGCAGGGTGCGGATGATCATGGTGTAGCAGATGGTGATGATGACGAAGGGGAAGATGAAGCCTACAAAGAGGGCAATGAAATCCAGGATCACCACCATGTTTTTCTTCTGGGAGTTCTCCGGCGGTTCGAAGCACTTGGTCTTGTTGCCGTGCTGGTAGGTGCCGTTCCGCAAGAAGGGCGCGCTCGTCAGCGAGACGAACACCCAGATGCCCACGCACAGAAACTTGGCCTTCTTCTCCGACACCAGGCTGATGTTGCGGACCGGGAAGACGATGGCGATGCAGCGGAAGAAGCTCATGGCTGTCATGAAGAAGATGCTGCAGTAGAGGTTGACGTAGAGCGCGTAGGACGAGAGGCGGCACAGGAAGTCGCTGAAGAACCAGTGGCCCTTGTGCACGTAGTAGATGACGCGCAGGGGCAGCGTGAGCACGCACAGGAAGTCGGACAGGGCCAGGTTGAGCATGTAGATCTGGAAGGCCGTTTTCTGCCGGTACGTGCGGATCAGCACATACAGCACCACGCCGTTGCCCACGAAGCCCATGATGCTGATCATGGAGTAGAGCGTGGAGTAGACGCTGTTGCGGAAGTCATCGATGGAGGAATTGTGGCACGACAGGTTGGGAGACAGCGCTGTCATGGTGCCCTGGCTGAGGCACCAGCTCCCTGGGGATGGTGTCAGGCCTGGAGGGGGAAGTGCAGGTGAGGTAAAGCAGGACAGGAAAATAAATATCTGTGATGAAATAAGAGGAAAAATCTGTCATCTGTCTCAGGAGAGAGCTGAGAAGGGTTGTGGATCTGACCCATGCCCGCTACATCCACCTTTCCTCACCAGGTACCAAAAACTGGTTATGAGTGACAAAATGTGGCAGACTCATGGAATCACATCACAGGACCATGGAATCTTTAAGGCTGGAAAAGACCCTTGAGACCAAGTCCAACCATAAAGCACCACCATGATGATCACCACTAATCTATGTCCTCTAGTGCCACATCCATACGTTTTGGAACATATGATGGCTCCAGCACCTCTCTGAGCAGCCTGTTCCAGGGTCTGAGGAGTCTTTTGGTGAAGGAACTTTTCCTAACATCCATTCTAAACTTCCCCTGGTGCAACTCGAGGCCAAGACATCAGGACATTAAATTACCAAAAAATCTCTTAACCCCTCCCACACTGAGGCAGCTACTCAGCAAAACAGCAGAGAGGGATAATGAAGGTGACAACAGCTCTATGGAATTTAAAGTAGGAGGAATGGTCCTGGACCCTAATAATTGTTCAGCCCTGATTCTCTTTTTTTTTTTTTTGATTGATTTTCAGTTTCTAATGGTTCAAGTGCAGAACTGCAGCTTGAGACCATGAAAAGCTGCGAGAGCAGAACTGCAGGACAAGAGCCAGCTGAAATAACAGGACGCCACAACAACAACAAAAGCAGAAGCTGAGTCAAGATCAGCCATGAGAACCCACAACTGTACCATGAATATGCTCAAAATTGCTGATAAATGTACTTTCACCCATACAAATAACTTGGCAGTATTAGATTCTCTGTCTGCCCCCCAGACTTACCGAAGTCAGAATTCAGAACTGCTCTGGGATGCTCAAGGCTTCCAGGTGTCAGTTAAATTTCAGCTGTTTTGGTGTTTGTACTCTTTTAAGAGTCCTTTGATTATCTGCAATGCAGAAATGAGCAAAAGCTGAGCAGGTGTCAGTGAGGGAACTATCACTGCCCAAGGGTAGAGGGACTGATGTTCATCAGAAATCCTGAACAAAGCCACCAGTCCACATGTCAAGGATCTTTTATGCTTTTATTACATTATAGCCTTAACTCCAGCAACCAGCCCACAATTTAAACAACTACTCGAGGTATTTGTCCAAAAGACAAACAAGACTTGTTTTCTATCATATTTCTAAACATAATTTGAGTTTTCCACCAAAAGTAAACTGACATTCGCAATCCAACTGCTAAAGCGTGAGAAAACATCGCACCCAGAAATGCATCTGTAAAAATCAACAAGAATCCCGCAAAAGAGCATTTCCCAGCTGAGGCTTTACATTTGCATCATGAATTGAAGACAAACATTGCTTCTGCCACTTTTTTATTTGTACAGTCATGGTTCACTGAGCCATTTATTTGTGTGCTGGTGAATTAAGCTCACTGGGTGAAAGGGAACCACAGTGGATGAGAAAGGGTTCTCAAAGGGAACAAAACCCTGAACTACTGCTATTCTCCCAGTCTGATGCAGCACAGATAAATTTATAGCTTGTCATAGAATCACAGACTGGTTTGTGTTGGAAAGGGCATTAAAACTCATTCAATTCCACCCCTGCCATGGGCAGGGACACCTTCCCAGGTCTCTTGGACACTTCCAGCTTCTCTGGGCACCCTGTGCCAGGTTCTCACAGGAAAGAATTCCTTCCCAAAATCCCATCTATCCCTGGCAGTGGAAGCCATTCCCTTGTCCTGTCCCTCCATCCCTTGTCCCCAGTCCCTCTCCAGCTTTCCTGGATCTCCTTTAGGCTCTGGAAGGGGCTCTAAGGTTTTCTTGGATCCTTCTCTTCTCCAGGTGAGCACCCACAGCTCTGCCAGCCTGGCTCCAGAGGAGAGGCGCTCCAGCTCTCGGAGCATCTCTGGCCCCAGTAGATTACACTCAATTTAATTACACACCCCAAAAGCACAAAGCCGCTGCTGCCGCTCGTTCCAAGCACAAACACGAAGCATTCCCATCCCGAGGATCGCTCCGGGCTCTGCATTTCCCGTTTGGGGAGGGACGGGAATGCCCCAAAACACCAAACTGCCCCTCACAAGCCCCAGATCCCCGCTGCGAGGGGACGGAGCGGGGACACAGGACGGGAACGGAGCGATCATTAATTAACGCCGCAGCTCATTAGCGGCGCGGCTGCGCTCCGGGGGGGTCCAGCGGCTCAAAGCGGGACACGGCACAAGCGGGGGGCACCGAGGCAAAGCCCCCAACCCTCACCCGGGACCGGGACCCCCACCCCGGTGCAGCCCCGGTGCAGCCCTTACCGGAGCGCTGCGGGGTCCGAGCGGGCGCGGATCTGTCCCGGGCGCGCCCTCGCCGCCCTTAAAGCGGGGCGCGCCCCCGCTCCCGCCCCCGGCCCCGCCCCGGCCCCACCGGGACCCCGAAACCTTCAGCTTTTCCAAGGTTTTCCCACCTTCCGAGGAAATAGCACTCGGGAGCTGCTAGGCGTGCCCACGCCTCCCGGTCTGGTGGGAACTGCCGGGGTTCCCTCCCTGTGTTTGTTCTGTGAGTATTTTACTCCTGCTTGTAACTGGCAGGGAGCTCACCTCTGACATCAGTGTTAACAACCTTGTTTAGAAATGGCTTTTAGGAGACTTTTTGATGTTGGTGTCATCAAAGGGAAAACAGAATTCTCACGAATTCTCACGAATCTCCATTCTTCCAGCATCTCAAAATATTCTATATTTGTATATCTGTTTTTAAACAACTGTGGCTTTGTTGAGAAAAAAAAAAACAACAAACCCAAATAAAAAATAAAATATATCCCCCAAACAAAACCAAACAAGCTCCGTGGCTATATCAAATGAAGTATTTTCTCAATTTTGAATATTTTAAGTATGGGCTGTCCCACTCTGAATTTTCATTTTATTATATTGGCTTTCTTTTGAGGATGTATAATGTGGTGTTCCCACCTTTTTCTAAGGAGTTAAGGAATTCTTCTATTCTCCCATCCCTAGGTTTGACTGGAATGTGGATGATCACAGGGGGCTGGGTAGTGGGACCCAGCAGCTCTTGGCTTCTCCAAGGCAGTGGGGAATCCTTTGGGGGAAGAAACCTTTATCCATTATGGAAACAGCTCTAAGCAGCACTGGAGCACCTGGAAGTGTCCAGGGCTGAGTTGGACAGGGCTTGGAGCAACCTGCTCCAGTAGAAGATGTCCCTGCCCATGGCAGGAGTGGGACTGGATGGGCTTTAAGGTCCCTTCCCACCCAAAACCATTCTATGATTAAAGCCAGCCCTGCTGAACTCACCACGTGGGTCACTGTCCTCATGGACATCTCCCTGTCCTCATGGGCATCCTCGGTTCCCACCTTGTGCTGATGTCCCCGGGCTCAGCCTGTCCAGCTCTGTTCCAGGTGCTGGCAGCAGTGGCCCCACATTTCTGTGAAGCTGAGAAGCCCCACCAGCACAGCTCTCCCACTGTGCTGCTGTTGTGTGACTTCCTGGGAGAATTCCCAGCCATTTTCCTGCCCCAGCTCCATTTTCATGACTGCTTTTGGGGTTTCCAAAGCCATGGTGCTGTGGACATGGCAGTTTCTCTTTGACCTCACTCTCCATGAACAATGAAGGTGTGTGGGAAGGAACTGCACCTTTTCCCTGTGCCCTTCCCAAGAGCTTCCCACCCTTCCTCACCCACCCGTGCTCAGGAAGCCTGTCCAGCTCCCAAGAGCTGCTTGGCAGCATATTGGGAACAGTCAAATGGCAGGATCATGGGATAATTCAGGCTGAAGGGGACCTCAGGAGATTTCCAGTGCAACTTCAGTTGATCCAGGCCAGGATTCTCAGGGCTTGTCCCACCTGAATTTGAAGATTTTCAAGGATGGAGGTCCAAGAGCCTCTAAGACTGGACAATTCCTTGCACTGCCTGCAATCTCCTGTGCTGGGAGCTGCCTCTCGAGTTTGTTTTAATTGTGGTGCACATTCTGCTGTTATTAAGCCATTCTTCTGCTTTTTTTGCTACCATTTCTGGCCATTCCTTCTGCTTTTTGCCACTCAGTTATTCCTTCTCATTTTCTTTTCCTTTTCTTTATATTTTTTTTCTGTTCCTTTTTCTTTTCTGGCTTTCACTCTCAAGAACAGGAAGATTTCTAGTTGCAAAGTCAGACTGAGGTTGGTGTGGGATTGAGGAAGGTGCTGCTGCTCCAGATGTGCTGGGATTGCAGCCAGAGTTTTGGTGGGAAGGGTTTTCATGCTGAATCCAGGAGGAGCTCAGACTGCAGCTCTGACATGATGTGGCAAAGATGACATGTGGAATTTGGGGGGCAGGACAACATTACCTCTCTGATATATCAATATATGAGGAGATCCAGAGGACAGCAAGGGGAGGGGAGGACTCCTAAAAGGAGTCTTGGATGAATTCCCAGAGGAATGAGGGTGAAGAAGAGCCCAACAAAGTGATCTCCTTCAGGTCTGATAGGAGCAATTTGAAGCTGGGGCTGTAACTCCTCTGATTCCCTTTCCAAAGGACAATGGGATAAGGAATAAAGACACAAATGAGGCTTTGGAAATCTCTCTGGGACCATGTGGTTACTAATTGTTGAGGTGTTGTTGTGGGTCCCAGGATGAGGTGAGAGATCAGAATTGACTCCAAGTTCTTAGAAGGTTGATTTATTATATTAAGATATTATATTAAAAGAAAATGATATACTAAAAGTATACTAAAGAAAGAGAAAGGAGACATCAGAAGGCTGGAAAGGAATGATAATAAAAACTCGTGACTGACCAGAGTCCCAACGCAGCTGGACTGGGATTGCATTAAGTTCACATGGAACCAATCAAAGATGCACCTGTTGGTAAACAATCTCCAAAGCACATTCCAAGCAATCAGATAGTTCTTGTTTACATTTCCTTTCTGAGGCTTCTCAGGAGAAAAATCCTGGCGAAGGGATTTTTCATAAAATATCACAGTGACAGGACCATCCAAATCTGGGAAAAGCCTGACCATGCTTTGGGGTTGTCACTTAGCACTGATTGATCCTCCATTGCCTTCTCCCCCTAGACACCAAATTCCTGCAACTCCTGCCAGGAAGTTTCCAATGGCACCAGATTCCAAGAACTTGAGCCCTTCCTCAAGTGTCCTGAATGCCACTGATCCAGCACACTGCTTATCTCTTTACTGCAGGATTTCCAGACAACTTCCTAAAAGCCTAAATACTTCCCAGAGAGAATGAAAAAGCCCTCTAGCACTGGCAACTTCTTCCACTCTGGCTGTTTAAGATGGGGAGAGCAGAAAGGTGGGGTTTTGTGAGGAAATAAACATCTTAACAATGTTGCATTCTCTTTCCTCTCCTGTGACTTCCCAAAACAATTCCTTTCTCTTGGAATCTCATGGGAAAAGGATGGTGTCCCAGCTTCAGACTTGCCCCAAGATATTTGGAGTGGGCTGGGCTGTGTGACACTGGCAGGGAACTCCCAGGGGCAGTGTCAGCTGCAGCATTTCTCCAGAAAAGCAGGATTTTGGTGATGCCTGAAATCAGGCATGGAGACTTGGGAATTCTCTGCCTGCCCTGATCAGCTGGACTCAGCCAGCCACACTGGCTGGAATGTGCATGGCTTCAGTCATCATCCCAGGAATGTCCCTCCTGGAAGTGAATGAAGCACAGGAGGAAGGCAGAAGGGGAAAAAATGTGAGGGAAGGAGGATGGAAATCTCTTGGTAGGGGAGTGCACTGGAACAGAGCCCTGGAACAGAGATGAGCTTCCACTGCTCAATGGTGGGAAAGCAGAGGGAAGGGGAGGTTTGGAGGTGTCCCCCCAGTGTGAGTGGAGATGAAGAGCCTTTCAATGCAATAAATTCTGTGCCCTGAGGGCTGGCAGCCCACAGTCACTCTGAAAGAGGTG